AGCGGGAGCGCTGCTGCGCTCCCAAGCGGCACACTGTAGCAGTGCGCCACCGGGCCGGCCCAGGAATACTGTTTTTTAGATGTACGGGAACTTTTTATGTCTTTTAATTATTCTTTGTACCCAATTTTGAAACAAGTAAATTCCAGTTTGCCTAGTGTAAAACAAAAAAGAAATCTAAACTCACCACTTGTGAAAACTGAACGTGCCAATGACCAAAATAGTGGGGAAATATATATATATATATATGTATATATGTATATATGTATGTGTATATATATATGTGTATATATATATTATCTGTGACCTTAATACTCCCCACAAAAATGAAGAATTATGTAGGTAGCACATATCTGCTTTTCTGAGTGAAGTAAATGACTACATGTATATGAGAAGCTCTGTCTACTTGTGTGGTCCAAGGATTGATGGTTCCTATCTGACCTTTGAAGAAACCACCCCACCACAGTCATTGCTGCAGTTAGCTGCTGAGTAAGAGTTATAATGAAGCAAACTACTGCAGTTCCTCACTATTGTGGTGAGCATATATTACTATAAAACTATGTTGTTGCTATTTTTAAAATACAATTTACATTTCATTTGCCATTTAAACTTTTTTAAAAAAACATTATACAAAGCCCTCATTTTCTAAGTATTTTGTTTAAAATCAAGTAAATTGTAATTTTGAGGTTAGGCATTATTTTATCGAGCCTAAGGGAAATAAATTCCCAATGTAGTTATGAGATGTATAAAGTCTTCAAGAAGTTTAAAAGGTAAAACTGTTGATGACATCAGTATAATTAAGTCTAGGTATGCTAATGTAATTATTTCTTTATATTCTACTTAAAAATTGAATTTAAAATATTTAATTATAACATTTTAAGTTAATATTTTAATATTAAAATTAAATATTATTGTACAGTATAGGACCCTCTGAAGTAGGTATTTTTACCGAGAATGAAGGGGAACTTTTTGTAGCTATTTTTCTTCTAAAAACAAATAAACAAGTGTACGTATAATTTATTTTAAAATACATATGATATAAACTAATATTATATATAATAAAGTTTAGAAATTATAAAAAATTAGTCCAGTAATACAAAATTACCATAGGTGCTTAAATCATGTGAAAAAGTCACAAAGCCATATTTGAACATTCCTTATATTTCAGAAAAGTAACTTTAGTATTCATTAGTATAAAACAAATCTATGAAGGTTGAGTTTTGCAGAAGAGATATAATGTACATTCTCAATCATAGCAGTGAAGCACTGCAAACATATTTTAAGTGCTGGAATATTCCATATTTTCTGTAAAATATACTTCGGAATTTTAGAGATGGCTATTAAGTGCTTGCCACTATTTGTTTGGGTGATTTACAAAACTAATGTTTTCACTACTGAAACATGGAATTAAAAACTCTTCAATTTTCCCATTAGCTGCTTAGATTATTGTCCATTGTGAAAAGCTCTCAAAGCCATATGAATAAAAGGAGGAAATCTTTAAATCCTATGACAGCAAGAAAATCACCTTATTTAAATCCTCTTTGTTATAACTATAGCTTAAGGTATTCAATGCACTGCTCAACACTGAATACATCTAGACCCCACAAAATTCAAGCTAAATTAGATATATAAATGTACATTTTAGTTGATGAGGAAGTAATTAAATGTCATTGACTGGAAGGACACTGGGTCTTATACTCTCTAGAAACAGATCACTATCTAGAGAATGTTACTATTTTAAAAGTCTAATTTTTTTTCAGTTATTTCCCTCCCCCTACACACTCTAAATAATATATATAAAAAGTCAGTCACTAATTCTCTGTTACCTACAAAATTAGCTGATTCTCTTTAGGCCAGCTACTGCTTTCACAACTTTACAGGCAAGTTTCACCTTAGTTTTTCAGGAAAATAAATCACACTAGCAAATACTGGAACATGATGTTCTTATTCAAAAATCGAGGCAATGTATTCTTAGTAAATTAAATAAAGCTTATCTTAAAAAAACCACTATCATTGCAAATGTATGGCTTTCTCTAACTGCTTACAAAATTTTTATAATTACTGTATTAATGAAATTTTATTTTGGTAAAATGATGTATTTCCTATATAACCTAAGGTCATCATAATAAAATTTATAACTTCAGTTACTAATAAACAGTACTACCACAACTTTGTTAAGAGTTGGAATCACCTAACGTTCAAATATTAGATGCTTTCCATTTTATCTCATTATGATATGTTTTATAAAAGAAGAAACCAAGGACTGCACACTAACACATGGAGGGACTGGGATTTAAAACCAGGTCTTCTGATTTCAAGGCCAGTGTTCTTTCGGTGTTTTCCTTTTACTTTCTGTTTTTTTGTGTTTTTTTTTCTAAGTCACTAATATGTATAGTTAAATAATCTCACAGAAAGCACATTCTGCAAAACAGAAAAGTGAACTGACCAATTTTTTACTAAAATAGGATTTGATTTTACAATCCTAAAAGCTTACTTGTTGGCACACCCGCTAACCTGTTCACTCATTCTTTGAGCCAGTAAAGTATTTACTGAGAACTGCAGTGGAAATACAATCCTGTGTAGGACAAACAAGATCCCTCCCCTCATACAACTTAAATTCTGGTGGGGAAAACAAACTAAATAAAATAATCAATATTATTATTATAAAGGTAGCTACTTTCATCACTGCTCAGTTAAAAAGTCTTGTAGCTAACTTTATGATATGGAAACAATCAAGGTCTAAGAGCTATTTGAGACAATAAAACTCTAATACCAAATATTCCTCTACAAAATACCAAACTGACTTATATACCTTATTAAATGTATGCATACTTATATACACACACACACACACACACACACACACACACACACACACATACATACGTAATATCTATACAAAGAGCTCTATGTTCAATGAAAGATAAATTAGTTCCCAAACTAGTTAAAGTCCTCTCTGAGGTACAATAAAAATTAAAATAATTGTTTCTCTTCTCAACTCT